ACAGTCAGGAATATGACGAGTTATAATATAGATTATTCATACGAAGTTACAGTAGTTGATGTGATGACATTTAAAAACATACGGCAATGGTATTTGGAACTAAGAAATGTCAAATAATTTTGAATCTAGTATGCTTCGTCTGTACACAACACACTTTTTCATAGTAGTATGTTGTAGCTATTAAATACATCTTATACCATTAAAGTTTTGGGAGTGGTTCGTATGAAATATATGCTGCTAGTCTCAGTGAAAAATATACATGTGAAGTACAAAGGCAGTAAGTCATCCAGCAAAATAGTAAAACCCGCATGGTTTATTCTCAGGAATTAGATCATCTAATAGGTTTGACGTATGTAAGGCCAGTTGTGACAAGTAGTAATTATCCAAAAGCAACGAGAGTGAACACGCAGTATTCCAGACGGTTTCTAGGTGTGTGTGACGCTATAGACTTTGTCACTTGATTGATTTAGTAAAAATCTGAGAGTCGTAAAATTCAGGAGTACTGCATTCGTTGTTTGGTAATGGAACTCGAAAATCGGAGACTAGGCAGGGAGTGATCGTAAAAAACGATATTACAGGATAGTCCGAAGTTTAAAACAACGTGAAATGTTAAGTGAAGAAACAATACGAAGAATTGGGTACAGATAACCATTCGGTCCTTGTTCACGTTGCTAGCCAAAGCCTATTTACGTCATTTAAAGACTATATTTGCTAGAGCATGATATTTTAACAAGTTTATTTTGCTGAAGCATGTAAATGCTATTAAAGCTTTTCAATAAACCATCGTAGCTAACAATATAGATGACCAGTTCTTAGCATCGATTGAGCTAGTAAGCCATGATCATTAATCAGTGCCACAATACGATAATACACGCGGGTGTTAATCAGAGGACAAATAAATTGATGAGTTGACATAAGCGAAAATCGATCCACAAACCTAAAGTGAAAGTGAGGATTAACAACAGGGCTGCCTCTCTTTGATCGGGCTCAGCAATGCAGAATTACATGGTGTACTTCATTATTACTACTGCTCTAATGACAGACCCAATCCCAAAATTTTAGATTTGTCATGATGTGACTACCTAATCTATAAGATGTTACGTGGAAGTCACATCACTGTCTACACCGACTCGCCCTATTGTAACATCACCAATATATGATGGAGAACACATTTGGGCTGGAGATAGAACAATATATTTAATATGACCAAAAGAGATAAGATACACAAGGATGACCACCTGTGTGGCTGAGCCATGCCTTTCGATTAATTGAATTAATTTTCAACTTAGACAGCAGAGTTTAAATGGTTTAAATTGTTTATTTTGGATAAGTCTTTTCAGTAATTATGTGCTCGATTGGTAGAAATTTTATCCAGTTTTGAAACAAACCCATTTGGTTCTCAGCGGGAACACTGGGCTACATTTTCTGTAAGTAGTTGTGATAATTAAGCGATTATAAAAATACACCTTACTCTTATTTTTACTTTAAAAACGTTTCATAACTAACTTGATCAAAATAGAGAAATTTTCATTTCTAGAGCCACCTCTGCCTGTTCAAATCTAGCAATAATATGCTACGCTCTGTATAAACCTGAAAGAAGACTTATTGTTGTTATCAATAAGTCTAATTGAATAAAAAATTGGAAATGATTCTATGCGATGGAAGCAAATTTTTCGCTGATGTTGAATTTGATGAATTAAGCAAATCAAAAATGTGAGGCAACTCGAATATGACGAAATTGTTTAATGTGTTGCCACAATGAAGCTTGAATTGCGAAGAAAGATTATAAATGACTGTTGATCTCTCACGCAGCTGCTTAGTCTCTAGACCACGAACCGGATCTAATAGTGTATAAGTCTAATTTCAACCAATCAGTGATACTTCGCAATCACCTTCCTCTCTCGAGTTTTGCTTTCCTCATTAACCTATTTAGAGAACGTGTTATCAACAGAAACCAATTTATTACCGTTGTGTGTATGACACATTGAAAATGTGTCTTCTGACACCATCGTAAAGATACTCACAATACCAACTATATTTCAATTTCCAAGGTAGTATCCTATGTGGTAATTGTGTTGTGAGGTGTACATGGTTGGGGAGTGTCATGACTATTGGTGCGTTCACTTGTCAGGTTGAGTTTGTTAAAGTATATCATTAGGGGTCGGTTACTTTATATTCGGTTAATTACAAACCACACTTCAGTTATATTTCTCACTTTTTTTATTGTATCCACGTACACAAAACAATAGCTTATTTGAAGAATTCCTATGGTACGTCAGTGAGTTGAGCAAGAAGTCAGTATAAAAGCCGAACTATTTCGTGAGTGACTGGCTATCTAGTTTCATTCGAATGATAGTATTTTTTGTCTCGTTATAGATTTTAATATGAACGTTCCTATGTGACTGGAAAAGCAGTACTTGTTTGATCCGTTCTAAACTTGATATTTCGATTTTCTTATCATGAATTTTCTGGATTTGAAAACATCACAGCTTAGTATGAACAGTCAGTTGAATGGTCAATTACATTACATTAAATGGTGCAAAAGCCCGAAAACACAACATCATGAATACTGGAGCTATTTTACTAAACGTTGTTCTTTGCAAAGACTAGACGTACTGTACAATCTGTGAATACCGTACAACAAGAGACCTCGGGTTTTCACTCAAATGCGGGGTGGCTGATGAAATATCACAAAAGTGTTGTGAAGAGTGAAACTGAACAATTTAGTGATTGTATTCTTTAATTTAGTCTTTCTGATACAGTTATTGAGTGACATTTCAGAATCCTCATAATTTCACAGCTATATGATCATCTTGGAATCTATGTCTATCGTGTGCTACCAAGTTACTTATCAACGACAGCTATATGAATTCAATATTTATGATCATTATAGTGTGTACACAATCTACGGTTCTTTTCTTTAAAATAATATCATTTCTAATTCTGAGTTTGGCATAGATTTTATCCTTCACATCTACAAAATGACTGAATTTAGTTAAAAAACTGTTGTCGTTTCATGTAAAAGTGAACAACTCATCTATCCAATTATGGAATTTATCAGCAAAATATTGTAGGATGTTGATTGATTGGTATGAAAGCAGCAAAATGTGTGGCAAAGAAACATGAAGAAGAGCTACTTCCACATAGTTATTCAATTCGTAACTTCGCCTGTGGCCCTTCTAGAGTTACTGGAGGCTTTTCCACTCAGTCCAGATTTTTAATATTTGTCTAACTAATTCAGTTCATGATGTAAATTACTAGATAATAATTACGTAACACTTAATCTTTTCAAATAAATTGAGCATTAAGTAGATTGTTTGTAATAACAAATAGAATACTATTAATGATAATTAACAACTGATTTCAATTCACATGAATTTTTATTGTCTTACAATTAAACCGATTGAGTTGGCAATGAACACTTAAATTAGTGAACACATCTATACCTTAATAAATAATAATAATAAATGTTTATTTCTGCATATTGCGTGTTCACGACACTGTTTTGTGGATGGCCACTAATTTTCTGAGTGAGTTCAGATATGTGATACCATCTCAATAGTTATTTTGGCTGGATTATGTAAATAGCTCTGTGAAATCTTACAGCAGGATTAGTCTCATTAAAAATGAATAAATAAATTCTTTATTCATGATCCTTAAAATGAATGTTGTACATGATGGAGTATAGATAGTGTTGATTCAAACATATTCATTAACGAGCAGGCACATCAAGTAAATAGCAAAAGTCTATGTAGAAGCCGTATTTCAGTTTTCATTCATCACCTACACAATCTGTTTAGTAGAACACACTAGGATATAGATTTTACTATGGAACACGAAGTAGAAGGTAAATTCCATTTCCTGGATATTGGAATCAGACGAACATCAAATGACAAATTACAAAGGTACGCTCACCGCAAAAATACCAAGTGCGGATGAATTACATAAACCAGTTGCAGTGAGTAGTAAAGTGTGACAAAGCGTAAGAGGTTGGAAATAAGAGAAGTGCTGGAATGTAGTGCAAGACAAATTTCTGTTAATTCTAACGAAGTGGCAAGGTGTGAAGTGCCTAAATACACGAGTAAATTTATAATTGTTACTTTGTGTGGGTCATCCTTTCTACAAAATCCACCCCTCAGGTAAAATAGGATAGAGTGGAAAAGAAAATCTGCTCCTTATATTTACGCTTCAAAGGAGACAGAATCACTGGAATAATTAATCACAAAGTAAATTCCGCGTTGAAAGTGACCTAGCCAGCAGCAAAACTAACGACGGTATGGGAAATGGACTGCTCATTCAAACAAACTAAAATCAACAGGTACTCTTTTCTCAGTAGTTCCAACCGCATTTACCAGTTTACATGTATGAGTCCAAAATACAATATCAGAGTTCACTGTGTGAATAATTTATTTTAGAAATAACTGGTTTATACACCAGCAGAACAAACCACATTACACCATGAAATGAACAACAACAACTGTACGAGACCAAGTATGACAGACCGCAGCCAATGTTTTTACAATTATTAGAAGTACTTTGTAATAACCGAAATATAAATGTATATATCCTAATTACTTAATAGTTATACAATAAGAATATGTATAATATTATTATTCACAAACATCTTATGGGTACATGAGCGTTGTGAATAAACCTATTACTACCCTGATAATTCCATTTTTCTAATCATCAGTTTTATTTTGTTAATGTTTAGTTTGTGCTATATTTCTCTCCCATTAACGAATTCCTAAACCACCCCTTCCCTCATACATTTCCACTCACTTGATTCTCTTCAATTATGTGAACTCTCTGAATTTTATTCAATTATTACGTAACACGTCTTATCAGATTTTAATTCTATGAATCTTATGTAAATCCTGCATTACCTCTAAAATTATCACACAATTTATCTTATCTGTCTTTGAACTCCACTCAACTATTACATCACCCATCCTTAATTTTTCCTTGATTCTAACACCAAATAACCTCTGACCTGTTCTTGCATATATACATCATTATTATTGATAACTTTTGTCAGTCCAATTCTTTACATTCACTTATATCAATTGTTCCATACTATTTCTTATCTCAATGCAAAATTCTAATACATATCTGGTTGTAAGCAGCTGATGAGAAACCACGAAATATAATGAATTCATATTATTCTGCATCAATGTTTGTTCTAAAATCCTCCACGTTCACCAACTGTAGATACAGAACGATTCCGATGAGTAGTATTTTCCGTTTGTGAATCACTACGTTTACTTCTCGATTTACTATTTTCAGTTTCAAGTGAATTTCTACTATCAGAATCACTATCAGAATTGAGTCTTATTTTGAGATGCTTAGCACTTTCACTGTCTGATCCTAATCCCATACTTTTACGTTTATAATATACATCACCATTGATATCGAAATTGTCAACGGAAAATCTTTTCGAATAACTCCTTCGTTTTCCACCTCTTCTCAAATTGGAATATTGGAATGTGCGTCTTCCATACTTGTCAATTGAACCCTTCACCTTGAATCTGGATGAACGTGTTGACATACTATCATATTCCCCTCGTCCATGTCTATTGAAATTACCTTTAGCATTTGCTTCTCCCTCTTCTTTAAATGGTCACTCTAAGTAACCTTCTGTGTTTTGTACTGAATATATTACTGTCTTCCCAGACCAAAAGTGCTCTTCAAAAGTGCCAGACGTCATATTGCTGGTTGTCGCAGTAGGACAAGTTAGTGAAGACTATGATATGATCTCCCTGTAGGATGTTATAGACCGAGTAGAAACACCGTGATAAACCTACAATTTTGGGGTTAGGTCCATTATTATAGTAACAAAGACGAATGCATTTATGCTGAACTAGACCACAAATTTACAGTTGTATCTGTGTTACTGCAAAGGATTTTGTGCAAGATAATTTGAAGTCTTCAACCTTTGGTTGCATAATCGATCGTTTGTTATGTTTCAACTTAGTGGTAAGGGTGAATTGTTGTTAGATAAACGACGCAATGCTTTGTGAAAGAATGCTATATTTTGGTTTGGCTGCCCCTGGCTTTTTTCAGGTTAATTCTGCGCCAGAACACGTAGTCCATCGACGTAGGCGGTGGGTGGGCATACGTGACGCTTATCTTGATCGCCTCAGATGATGAAGATCTAATACTGCATTAGTCGATTAGCCATCCTTACCTAGTAACCTATTCCTAACCCAGACACTGCTTACTCAATTGTCTCAATATATGCAAGGAGTGGTTCGAAGACATTTATAATCAAAAACTACTAGTACTAATAATTTATTCTCAAATATCAATTTATTTACAGTTATGTTTTTTTCGAATATGTAATGTCAAGTTGTTACAGATGATACAGGCTTCACTGTAATAGGTTATTTAGTTAGCCCGATATCTTGTAAGTTACACTGGTCATAGAAGTAGGTTTAATTGCACTTCTCACATGTGAATGTAACTAATGCTAGTTGGCGCGATTTATGGAGGTCATGTTGCAAAGTATAACTGGTGGTCGAGAACAAATCAGTTGACTAATAGTATTTTAGTATATGGAAATGTTTACTCAAGGAATAACAAATATATCTCTGCTCTTTTCGGCAGCATATCTCAAGGGGGCTAGAAAGGAGGGAAAGAGCGGGAAGCAGAGCAGACAATGATCATCACTGCTGAAGTTGAGCCGCTTGTGGTGGAATTTTCTATGGTTCTAAAGTTAATCTTGCTAATATAAATGTTTCTTGTTGTCCGATCTAGATTTCTGTAATTTTTAGTTTTTAATAGACAACTTACTAAAGCCTGTTACTCCTAATGGAGCATAGACAGCAGACCAGCATTCTTCAACCCACTCTGTTCGGGGCCTTCTTTTCTAGTTCCATCCAATTCTTGTTCATTTTTCTCATGTCTATCTCCATTTCCCGGCGTAATGGTTTAGTTAGTATTCTGTGTTCTTTTCAGATTGTTTCGTATTGTATTTGATTGTCTTGTGACGCAGTTGGGTGCTTTCCTCAATGTGTGTCCTATCCACTTCCAGCGCTTCTTCCTGACTTCTTCCTCCGCTGGGATCTGGTTTGTTCTCTCCCACAATAGGTTGTTGCTAATAGTGTCCGGCCAACGGATACGAAGTATTTTGCGTAGATAACTGTTAATAAGCACCTGTATTTTCTGGATGATGGCTTTCGTAGTTCTCCAGGTTTCTGCCCCATACAGTAGAACTGTCTTGATATTTGTATTGAAAATCCTGACTTTGGTGTTGGTTGACAGTTGCTTTGAGTTCCAGATGTTCCTCAGTTGTAAATATGCTGCTCTTGCTTTTTCGATCCGCGCCTTCGCATCTGCATCAGATCCACCCTGTTCATCAATGATGCTGCCCAAATACGTAAAGGTTTTTACATCTTCCAAATCTTCTCCGTCAATTGTGATTGGATTGGTGCATTCTGTGTTGTATCGGAGAATCATGGTTTTCCATTTGTGTATATTGAGACCTACTGCTGCTGAGGCTGTTGCTACACTGGTCGTCTTTTCCTGCATTTGTTGTTGCGTTTGGGATAGAAGGGCCAGATCATCTGCAAAGTCTAGATCGTCCAACTGCATCTTAGATGTCCACTGTATCCCGTGTTTCCCTTCAGATGTTGACGTCTTCATGATCCAGTCGATCACCAGGAGAAAGAGAAAGGGTGAGAGTAAGCAACCTTCCCTAACACCGGTCTTCACTTTGAACGACTTTGTCAACTGTCCTCCATGCACGATTTTGCAGTGTAATCCATCATATGAGTTCTGTATGATATTGACTATCTTCTGAGGCACGCCGTAGTGTCGAAGAAGTTTCCATAGTGTTGTTCTGTCCACGCTATCAAATGCTTTTTCGTGGTCAATGAAGTTGATGTAGAGTGATGAATTCCATTCAATTGACTGTTCCACAATGATCCGTAGAGTTGCGATTTGGTCTGTACACGATCTATCCTTACGGAATCCTGCCTGTTGGTCACGAAGTTGGGCGTCTACGCAGTCCTTCATCCTGTTTAACAATACCCTGTTGAAGACTTTTCCCGGTATTGAGAGAAGAGTGATGCCCCTGTAGTTATCACACTTGCTGAGATCGCCTTTCTTTCCAGTCTTTTGGTACTTGTTCCTCATCCCGAATCTTATTGAATAAAATGTGGAGTATCCTTGCAGTTGCTGCTACGTCTGCTTTCGGTGCCTCTGCTGGAATGTTGTCTGGTCCAGCTGTTTTGTCACTCTTGATTTTTTTGATGGCCATGCTAATCTCTTCATTTGTTGGTGGGTCAACATCGATTTGGAGGTCCGTGGGTGCTGCTTTGGTTTTGGGTGGGTTCAATGGTGTTGGTCGATTCAAGAGTTCCTTGAAATGCTCTACCCACCTGTTTCACTGATCTTCAATATTGGTGATTACCTTGCCTTCCTTGCTTTTCAATGGTCGTTCTGGTTTCCGACTATTTCTAGCGAGCTTCTTTGTTTACTTTCCTTGCTATCTTTTCCGCCGTCATTGTTAGATCTTCCACATATTGACGTTTGTCGGTTCTGATGCTTCTCTTCATTTGCTTGTTTACTTATGTGTATTCAGCTTGTGCCTTGGCTTTTTCTGCTCTCGTTCGGCTGGTATTGATTGCTGCTTTCTTGTTCCTCCTTTCTTGAATCTTATCCAGTGCACCAACAGTGATCCATTCCTTGTGATGTTGCTTCTTGTGGCCCAGGACCTCATGACATGTTGAAGTGATTGCCTCTTTGATCCCCTTTCAGTTGCTCTCCATAGTAGTTACTTCTCCATTGAGTAGATCATGAAAGGCCTGGAACTTGTTGCTGAGGACTATCTTGAATTTGTCGAGTTTGTTAGTATCCTGAAGAAAGGCCGTATTGAACTTTTGTGATATTGTCCGCCCCGTTTTGCAGTGCTTCTTGAGTTTCAATTTCACCTTGGCGACCAGCAAATGATGATCTGAGGCTATATCAGCTCCCTCTTGGTTCTCATGTCTTCCATCATCCTCCTGAACTTTTTGTTGGTGCAGATATGGTCGATTTGGTTTTGTGTAGAGTGATCCGGTGAAGTCCATGTGGTTTTGTGTATGCGTTTATGTGGGAATATGGTGCCGCTTATGACCAGCTTATTGAAGGCACATAGGTTTGCGAATCTCTCACCATTTTCGTTTCTTTCTCCCAGTCCGTGTCGTCCCATGATGTCTTCATATCCAGTTTTGTCCGTTCCAACCTTGGCGTTGAAATCTCCCATCAGAATGGTCAGGTCCTTTGTTGGGCACTTCTCGACGATTGACTGCAGCCTAGTGTAGAATTGATCTTTAGCGTCTCCATTGTAGTGGTTGGTAGGCGCATAGCATTGGATGATGTTCATTGAAATGCCATCTTTCTTTGTTTTAAACGAGGCTTTGATGATCCTTGGTCCATGAGATTCCCATCCTATAAGTGCATTTTGCGCTTGTTTGGACAGCATCAATGCAACTCCTTGTGTATGTGGTGCATTTTCTTCTTCATGGCCGGAGTATAACAGGAGCTCTCCTGTAGTTAGTCGTTGTTGTCCAACTTGTGTCCAGTGTGTTTCACTGATCCCAAGTACCTCTAGGTTGTATCTCCTTATTTCTGCAGCAATTTGGAAGGCTCTCCCGGTGTCCTACATTGTACGAACATTCCATGTACCTAAATAAATGGTTGCTATGGTTGTCAGAAAGGGCATCGGTCTCGTAAATTCCGAAGGGATTCGGCTTTCATCATAAGGCGTCATAGTTCTTTTAAATGAAGACCTACTAACTCCCAGGGCAGAGTTTAAAAGGTTTGAATAATTTTTTCTGGTAAGCGTTTTTTTAGCGAGTTAGTTTTCTACGGGATGGGGACGCTAACCCCATGCCCAACCCTCCTTTTTACAGTCTTGGGACCGGCGGTAGCCTTCGGAGGGACTCCAGGCGGAGTTAATGAATAGAGAAAAAACTGTATAAATGGAGGTGATTCAAGAAGACTGAAAGTTAAGGATGTGTTGTTTAAAAATACAGTACTAAAACAGTATTCTTATATACAAATGGTTATCTCCTTTTCTTCATCAATGCTATTTCAGTTCATTTCTATTTTTATAGATATTATGGTGTCATGAGGGGGCTTAGGTTCATTGAATTGTCCAGCGTTGTTTGTAATAAGATTTTTCGGTGGGAAGTGAAATCAGTTCGAGGTTACCAACATGATTTAAAGAGGTATTTCGCATGACAAATTATCATCAATACCATTGTTTAGTTACATCCCGCTAGACCATAATGAATCGTAACTTAACAAACTGTCCTACCCTACAAACATGGGTAGATTGAAGCTATCTCCCCACCATCATCTTCGATGGTTAGTAGATAGTGACCTACGAATATCATTCATTCTTATGGCCTGTCAGTACATCACGTGACAAGATCGTCAGTTAGAATACCGAGTTATACGTCATTCACACTGTGCAAAACCAGTGAACTACGAATACCTTCCATTCTTAATGGCCAGGTTACAGACTCATAAATTGAGACGAACAGAACTGCCATGCAGTGAAAGCATCTTTTAGTGGGAAGACGGATATCTTGCCCGCACCATAAGTGACAGAGGTTGGTGAAAACTAATCG